TGTGTGTGTGTGTGTGTGTATGTGTATGTGTAAAATACTTTATAAATCAGATGACTAAATTATATAAAATATAAATAATAAACTTCAGTTGATTTTTTTAGAGAAAATTAGAGCAAAATAGTGGGCCTGAAAATTACAAACCAGAGGTTCAATACAGCTATGTATTTTGTGATTGTATGTTATAGTAGATTCCTTAGTAAGGGGAGGACGAAGTAGAAAGTTAGGTTTTGAGCCACTTATAAAAATGTATAATAATGATTATGAATATGATAATAATTAGCTAACATTTATTGAAGGCTCAATACACTGTTCTGAGCACTTGACATGTATTAAGTCATTTAATCCTCGCAACCCAATGAAGGTGATACTCTTTCCATGAGGAAACTGAGATATAGAGGCATAGTTCCCACAGCTAGTAAAGTCAGAATATAATCCACAGCAGTTTGACCTGAAAGCCCAAATTCTTAACTATTACCAATATCATTAGTGTGTTGACATTTTTTGATATTTAACTTTTTGAAAGAAAGTCACCTTGTTGAATTGAAGTGTGAAAATTTGCTGAGTAAGTGACTCAAAATTCTCTCATAAAATCACTCCCTGCAAGTCATGCTATTGATTTACTCATTGTAATGCAAGCATAGCAGATATCTCGGTAAGCTTTGTACAGTTCCAAACAGCATAAAGCATTTGCCAGTGACTCCACATGAGGAAAACAACTTTGAGCAGGCACTTAATAGTCTCCTTTCAAATTACACTTCACTGAAATATGTATACTCACTCACGTAAGGGATTTTGATTGTGCATAGGGTTTATAATCCGAATTTCACCTCAGATTACTCCTTAGAACAACATCTATTCCTTTCACAATTCCTGGGGGCACTGGTTAATAGGCAGTCTAAGCTCTGGTTTGAGCATTACCAAGGGGGCACCAACAGAGAGAAAAAAATTCACATCATTTAATGTTTTATAATTTTTAAAGAAACTATGAGGTCATCTTTCTGGGAAACACCTTCTGGTACTCTTGGTTTGCTTGGAGTTACTATTGTTTTGAATTGTGTGATGGATTATGGGGGCACACCATGGTTATCTGGCCCTGCCTGTGAGTTTGGTGGGGCAGAGGTAGTTGCTGATTCACCATCATCTAACAAATCCATACTCTATGAGTGAGATCATGGCTATAGAAAAAAGAATACAGCAGCGTGGTAGTTGTCTGAAAGTGGTTAGGATGTGCTGACTAAATGAAGGCCATGGCCTTTTAATGGTGGTGTTCTTACTAGGGAATGTGCGGAGAGGAAGAAGTTGGACAGAAAGAAGAAATTTTAGAGCTCCTGGGAGTTTGAGAAAGAGGAAACTGGAAGTAGCCATTAAAAATAACTTTGTAAAATCATGTAGATAAGGAATTTTTTTTGATATTTTGTGAAATGCAAAAAGTGGGATGCAAAACAATATGTACAATATGAGCCTATTCTTTTATTTTTTTATTTTTTTAATTATTATTTTTCTTTAAAGATTTTATTGGGGAATTGGGGGAGGGGAACAGACAACTTGCTGTCCTTTTGTTCTTCAGTCTAGTTGTGGAGGACATCGCTTCACTGGCC